AATATTAATTCATTAAAAATAATTCATCAATAATAATTATTAATTAATAATAATAAATTAATAAATAATAATATTAATAATAATATTATTATTATTATTAATTTATTATTAATATTATTATTTATTTACAAGGAGGAATGAATAATAACGCATCAACAGAGACGTACTAATTATTATTAATTTATTATAAATAATGCATTAGTAGTAAATTAACAATAAGGCAATATTTATAATAAATAATTTATTATATATAGAAGAATATATAAAGAATTACAGATATATAAATATACAAAATAATATATTTATACAATCTATACATGCGGCGCTCACTAGAAGTGGATTAAGAAATTCATAGAGAGGTATAAGAAGAATAATATAATTAATAATAATAATAAATAATAATAATAATAATTATTATTATTAATTATTATTATTGCATGCACAACAAACATAACATAAAAAGAAAGTTAAGAGATGAAGACAGAGAAGAAATACACAAAGATATAAATAATAATAAAAAAGAAAGCAGATAATAATAACAGACGAATTAAATATTAATTAATTCATATGTCTGTAAGACAATGTGAAGGCTCAGTGATAATACTAAAAAGAAGCAGACACCTAAATAGAAAAATATATACATATATACATACATACATATTATAAATATATATATATATATAAATATATATATATATTATATATATATACATATATAAATATACTTAATATATAATATATATATAATATATATATGTATACAAGCTTAAACATGGATATACATGATAAATATATAAATATATATATATATATACGTATATAAATAAATAAATATATATATATATAAATATATTTATATATTTATTTATTTATTTACTCCTGAAACTCTTCATAGTTAAAGCTACATAAAGAAATAGACTCAACTTGTTTGAATGCATGCGCAGTGTCTGCATTAACAAAATCTTCGATGCATTCTTTGATCCAGGCGTAGAACTCCGGGTTTTTAGCAACTCTTTGTTTATAAGGGGATGTAGCAAACTGGTTGCATTGTTTAGCAATAGAAACAAACATACTTCGGACGATCTTTTTAACAAGATAAGTAATTAATCTTAGAGGGACATATCTAAGACCGTGATTAAAGTTTCCTAGCAATTCTAATGTTGTTTGTCGCCCTTCAGATATAGGATATAAAAGAAATATTAAATGTGCACTCTGAATACGATTAACTTTATCTTTAGGAGGTATAGGTCTACCCATGAACTCTATTAAATGCTCAGGGGGTGATAAGCAGAAAATAATAACAGCCCCGCATTCTTCTAATGCATTTACACCGAATGAAAACATAATTGTTTCTTTTAAACCTAATACAGGATAATCAAATACTTGCCGAATTAATTGAGATGCTCGAGTATAATTATATACTTTCTCGGCATATTTAAACATAGGTGCCCAGTTCCCTGCTAAGTCTGACTCGTTTAATATCGCTAAAACTTTAAACAATGCACAAGGTAGCTTGCCTCGAACTTTCATAGAGACAGATGAATCCCTCTCAACTCTATAAGATAAATCTAAATACTTTCCTACACAAACAAACACACAAATAAATAAATAAATAAATAAATAAATAAATTAATAAACAAATAAATAAATAAATAAATATTTACTTTCTATTCATTTTACTCTTTTAATTTGCTACATTCGGCTTTACTTGTGTTTGCATGCTGTCATTTTTAGGGTTTATATATATATATATACATATATACATATAGATATATATATTTATATATCTTCGTACATATCTATATTATTAGTATGCATCCATACTATATGCAATATAATGCAGTTGTCTATTATTATATTATAAAATATAGACAGACAGACAGACAGCAGCAGCAGCAAACGAGAGAATATATCATTAAACAAATTAATAAATAAACAAATAAACAAACAAACAAACAAAACAAAACAACTAGAGATAAAGAAGAGAAAAAAAGAGAGCAGCAGCAGCAGCAGCAAACGAGAGAATACACCTTTAAAAAAGTTTACAAACAAACAGCGAGAGACAGCAGCAGCAGCAGCAGCAGCAGAAGCAGCAAAACAATCAAGTAAAAAATACAACAAAACAAAACAAATAAAGAAGCAAAGAGAGACAGCACGAGAGAAAGCAGCAGCAGCAACAGCAAAGCAAACAATCAAATGAAATAAAATACAACAAAACAAATAAAGAAGCAAAGAGAAGCAGCAAGAAACAGCGAGAGAGACAGCAGCAGCAGCAGCAGCAGCAGCAGCAAAGCAAGCAAACAAATACCTTTTTCTCGCATCCATCCTTCTTCATCAGAATTGCTTTTAACTCCTAAACCCTTCTTGCTGCTCGCGCGTCTGCTGCTGCTGCCTCCTCGTTTAGTTAAACTCATCTTCCTACCCATGCTTCTAAGACCCGACTTTAACTTTGTTGCACTTATCTTTCTCTCAGGGAAGCTGCTGCTGCTGCTGCCGATGCCGTTGCTGCTGCTGCACCCCACTGCAGCACCACCAGCTGCAGCAGCAGCAGCAGCAGGAGAGCTCAATCCTGCAACACCTTCTGCTGTGCTGCTGCTGCCCTCAACCCCACCTACCAAACGGCTCCCTCTCCCCTGCTGCTGCTGCTGCTGCTGCAGCTGTTCTTTGTTGCTTGCTGCTGCATGCAAAGAAGGGCTGGAGCCTGCTACAGGCAGTGAGACGGAGGGCCCCTGTGGGGTGGCGTTTCCCCCCGCACCCTGCTGCTGCTGCTGCTGCTGCTGCTGCTGCTGCTGGTGCTGCTGCTGGTAATGAATATTATATAAAGTATTAATAGACTCTGCAAATGATAAACGGGGGTCTTCAAAGATAAGACGAAGCTGGCTAAGACGAAACTGCTCAAGCATAGAGTATGCGATATTGATGCGGCATCTGAGGTTAACGACGCGCTGCTCTTGCTGCAGCTGCTGCTGATATGAAGATATCAGCTGCAGCAGCTCAAGGTCTTGCTGATGCTGCAGATCCTGCTCCTGCTGCTCCCGCTGCTGCTCCTCGTCCAGAGGACCCTCCTGCTGCTGTCGCTGATGCTGTAGCTGCTGATATAGCTGCAGCTGCAGCTCTAGCTGCTGCTGCCGCTGCTCCAGCTGTTGCTGCAGCAGCAGCAAATATTGATAAGCTTTAAACAATAATTCTTCTTCTATATAAAACATTAACTGGTTCCACTTCCTTATTAATATTTGTTCAAACACCGCTTTGGGGCTGCTGCGCTGCGATAGGACACGGGGGCAGCTGCTGCTGCTGCTGTTGTTGTTGAGAGCGGCAGCAGCAACGGCCCCGCATGCCTCCGCTGCCTCCGCAGCGCCTGCTGCTGCAGCTCGCGCACCTGCTGCTGCTGCTGCGGCTGCTGCTGCTGCTGCTGCCATTGCAGTGTCTGCAGTGCTGTCGCCGCAACTCAACAAACCCGAAGCTGCTGCTTGTTGTTGCTGCTGCTGCGCCTGCCTTGCTGCTGCGGTGGCTTCGCTGGCTGCTGCTGCAGCAGCTGCTGCTGCAGCAGCAGCAGCAGCAGCAGACCCAGGAAGATCCTCTTCCCCTGAGGGCATCGAAACAGGTGGATTTCTTAGCGACGCATCTGCTGCTGCTTCTTCTTCAGGCTTTGCTGCTGCTGCTGCTGCTGCTGCTGCTGCTGGTTCTTCCGTTCCTACCGCCTTAGCTTCTGGCGGTTTCGTTGCAGCTGTAGCAGCAGCTGCAGCAGCAGCAGCAGCTGCAGCAGCTTTCTGTGCAGCAGGCTCTGAAGGCTGTCCTTCTTCTTCTTCTTCTACCTCATCAGAGGGCCCCTGATCTACCTTCTCAAGAGGGAGGGGCCCCCTAGGGCCCCCTTGGGGGGCCCCTTGGGGGCCCCTCTGGGGGGGGCCCCCCTGGGGGCCCCCCTGGGGGGGCCCCTGGGATGAATCGCGAGGGGTAATGGGGGCCCCCGTTGGTGTTAGGCAGGTGATGATGCGGGTCCATATACCGGCGGGGTCGTCAAAAGTTTGCTGCACAATTCTTGTTAATGTTGATGAGAAACCTTCATTTGTTGCTGCTGGTGCTGCTGCTGCTGCTGCTGATGATGATGATGAGGGTGGTGGTGCTGCTGCTGTTTCTGGTGCTGCTGCTGATGCTGAAGGGACTGACTCTCCTGCAGCTTTTGCTGCAGTGTTGCTCGCATCACCTTCTGCTGGGACACCTGCTGCATCCTGCTGCTGCTGCTGCTGCTGTTGCTGCACTCGCTGCTGCAGCAATTGCCGCGTCCGCTGCTCGCCAGCAGCAACTGGAGATGATGCATTTTGAGGGGGGGAGGGGCCCTCTACTGCAGAAGCAAACTCAGCGTCATCATCTGCTGCTGCTGCTGCAGGTCCCTGCTGCTGCTGCTGCTGCTGCTGCTGCTGCTGCTGCTGCTGCTGCTGTTGCTGCTGCTGTTGCTGCTGCTGTTGCTGCTGCTGTTTCTGCTGCTGCAATTGCGGCAGCTCTTGCTGCAGTTGCTGCTTCAGCTGCTGCTGCTCCTCCGCAACATCCATAGCAGGCGCAGCATTTGCTGCAGCACCATTCTTTGCTGCTGCTTCATGTAAATCAAAGCCCTCGACGGGCATAGACCCATCTGCTGCTGCTGCTGCTGCTGCTGCTTGTTGAGGGTTGCCTGCGTAGCCATCTTCTTGATGCAGCTGCTGCTGCTTCAGCTGCTGCTCCTGCTGCTGCTCCTGCTGCTGTGGGGCTTCAACAGAAGCCTCTGAGGGCGACTTCCCCTTAGAGGCCCCCCCTTTGCAGCACTTGAGGCAACCCATCTTCGCGGTGCAAGTCAAGCAGCAGCAGCAGCAGCAGCAGCAGCAAGACTGCTGCTGCTGCTGCCGCTGTGGGCTACCTAACACCCGGGATCTGCGTAAGTAACGCTATCAGCGCTGCAGCAGTCACTGCTGGATGCAGCACTTTAGCTGCTGCTGCTGCTGTTGCTGCTGGTTCTGCTGCTGCTGCAGCAACACGGGAATCAACTCCCACTGATATGCACCCTCCGTACTCAACCTTGCTGCTGCTGCTGCTGCTGTTGCTGCTGCTATTGCTCCTCCTGCAGCGGATTCGGCTAGCGCATGCGCTATAGGACGCAGCACAAACGCCGACGAGAAGTTGAGCTGCTGCTGCTGCTGTTGCTGTTGCTGCTGCAGCTGCTGCTGTTGTTGCTGCTCCTTGCTGAGCAGCTAGGGGAGTTCTTGGAGGAAGACTGGCTGTCGGGACGTTCCAGCAGCAGCAGCTGCTGCTGCAGCGGCTGCTGCTGGCTGCTGCTGCTGACTGCAGCAGGGCAGCAGCCACGAAGCTGCTGCTGTCTGCTGTCCTTCGAGCCTTAATGATTTTTGAATTCAAAGAGCAGCAGAGAAAATCAGCAAAAGACTGCTGCTGCAGCGGCTGTTAGCTTGCAGCTGGTGCCGCTGCTGCTGCTGCTGCTGCTGCTGCTGCTGCTGCCGATGACTCGGGCAACGATGAATAGAGGCGTGTACTTCTACGCTGCATTTTCTGCAGCAACATGTGCTGCTGCATCTGCTGCTGCTGCTGCTGCTGCTGCCGCTGCTGTTGCTGCGGCTGCCTAGCAATGCTGACGACTGCAGCAGCAGCAGTTGCAGCAGCAGCAGCAGCAGCAGCCTCTAACTGGGTGATAGATACTTCCACGAAGCAAAGGCGTTTATACAGAAAGTATGTGTCTTAATGAGACACAAAAGCAGCAAGGCCGCCAGGCTGCTGCTGTTGCACGTCTCGGTCGCTGCTCGTTAGAAGGCTCAAGCAGCAGCAGCTACAAGATGCAGCAACAAGAATTGCAGCAACATAAAAATATCTTTTTGCTGCCTTGCTGCCTCTCTCTTTCTATTGTGCGTTAGCCTTGTGTCTTTACTCCCCCAGCAGCAGCAGCAGCAGCAGCAGCGGCGGCCGCAGCAGCAGCAGCAGCAGCAGCAGCAGAAGCCGCATCAACAGCAACGGTAGATGCAGCAGCAGTAGTACTACGGGCTCAGTGCTGCAGTTGCTGCTGCTGCTGCTGTCTTTGCTTCCTTCGCCTCTCGCCCGCTGCATGCATGCGGTCGGGGCTGCTCTCTTGCTGCTCAAGCAGCAGCAGCAGCAGAAACTCCAACTCAGCAGCAACGGCTGCTGCTCGACGACGACGCCGTTGTCGTCCTCGACGTCGACGTTAGCTGCAGGAGTAGCTTCAGCAGCAGCAGCAGCAGCAGCAGCAGTTTATACGACATAACAGCAGATGCCTGCAGCTCGAAGACAGCCAGGAGGGCCCCCCACCTTGGCTTCCTTTGCGGATGCAGCAGCAGCAGCAGCAGCGGCTTCTGCTGCTGCTCCCGCTGCAGCAGCCGCTGCAACAACTCGGCGAGCGACGTCCTCGCATTACAGGCAGCAGCAGCTACTGCTGCTGCTGCTGCTGCTGCTGCTGCTGTTAGTACCGTCTCCAGTTCTGAGTATTCATATCACCCGTGACAGCCCGCGCTGCTCCTCAGCAACAGCAGCAGCAACAGGGACAGCAGCAGCAGCAGCAAGGCCAGCAGCAGCAAGAGCAGCAGCAGCAGCAGCAGCAGCAACAACAACAGGAGGATCTCCCGGCCCCTTACTGAAGCCCCCCGATGGCTGCTGCAGAGCAGCAACTATAGGCTCAGCAAGCAGCAGAGTGCTTCAGATGCGCGGAGGCAGCAGCAGCAACATCAGCACGGGCAGCAACAGCAGCAGCAGCAGCAGCAGGAAGGTTCTTGTCTCGGTAGTGACAGCCACAGGCGTGCAGCACCTTGATAGAAGGTGGAAGCTGCTGCTGCCTTCTGCTGCTGCAGTTAGAGACGTGCTTTTGCTGCTGCAGCAGCAGATTGAGCCCTCGCCGCCTTTGCTGCTGCTGCGGCTCCTTCACAGGGGCCGCGTGGTGTCTCCGGAGGAGACACTGCAGCAGCTGCTGCAGCAGGAAGCACCAGAAGAAACCCCTGCTGCTGCTGCTGCTGCTGCTGAGCCGCAACAGCAGACCCTCACTCTTATTTGGGATACAGCAGTGCCTCCTGCAGCGGAGACAGATGCTGAGGCCCAAAGCAACAGCAGCAGCAGCAGCAACAGCAGCAGCAGCAACAACAGCAGCAGCAGCAACAGCAGCAGCACCTGTTCAGATGCACAGGCTGTTGCTGCTTACATGGCAGCGGGCGACGCAGCAGGCCGAGTTGCTGCGCTGCTGCATCGGGAGGCAGAAATCCTAGCAGCAGCAGCAGCAGCAGCAGCAGCAGGTGGTGAGGGTAGTGCTGCGGCAGCAGAAGGAAAACCGCAGCAGCCCCCTGCTGCTGCTGCTGCTGCTGCAGCTGCTGCTGCTGCCCAGCGAGCCGTCTTTGGTGGTTCGGATGTTCCGCTCCAGAGCAGCGAGGAGTTGAATGCTGCTGTACAGACACTGCAGCAGATACTGCAGCAGCAGCAGGAGCAGCAGGAGCAGCAGGAGCAGCAGCAACAAGAGCAGGAGGAGCAGCAGCAGCAGCAAGAAGAGGAGACTGTAGAGTTTTTTCCTCCGCAGCCGCGTACACTGAGAGAGTATTTGAGGCGGCAGCTGCTGCTGCACGTGCAGATACACCCGAAGTTGCTGCTGAAGGTAGCAGCGAGCTCGCTGCTGCTGCAGCAGCTTGTAGCCTATGCAGCACCAGCAACGCAGACCCAGCACCAGCAGCAGCAGCAGCGGATGCGGGAACTGCTGCTGCTCTCCGCTGCACCTGCTATGCTGCTGCTGCACCTGAGGCCCCTGCTGCTGCTGCAGCAGTTTGCTTGGCAGCTGCTTCCTAAAGGCAGGGGTTGGCGGCTGCTGCGGCTGCTGCTGCCTCCTGCTGCTGCTGCAATGCTTGAAGACGAGCAGCAGATCCCGCTGCGGCAGCAGGTGCTGCAGCAGAAGCAGCAGCAACTGGAACACGAACAAAGGCAGCAGCAACTGCGCACGCAGGAATTGCTGCTACAGGGACAGATGCAGCAGCAGCAGCAAGAGGAGCAGCAACCGCAGCAACAGCAGCAGCAGCAGTCTGCTGCAGCTTAATGCTGCGTCTGCTCTCTTACATTGCTGCTGCAGAACGATGCTAATGTGCTGCTATTTGTTTTATTTGTTTGGCTTTTATTTGCTGCTGCAGTTAGTGCGCTGCAGCAGCAGCAGCTGCTGCTGCACAGTTGCAGCCAGCTGCAGCAGCTGCTGCTGCACAGTTGCAGCCAGCTGCAGCAGCTGCTGCTGCACAGTTGCAGCCGGCTGCAGGGTTTAAAGGTTAGATTGTTTTAGCAAAGAGAGGCGGAGAAAAAGACAAACATTTATTTTAGACAATTATTTCTCTTGAATGTTGATGGCAGCACCCCACATGCGACCCCACACACGATCCCAGACACGATCCCGCACGATCCCACGCACGATCCCATAGAACTGCGCTTCCGAGCCAATGGTCAGGGGCCTTATTGTTATATCTCTGTATAATTCCATGAGGTGACCCCGGAGGCCCTCGGATCGTGCGGCGACTCAAGGATACCACACGATCCCACACGACCCCACACGATCCCACACGATCCCAGAGTGTCATGAGGGGTCCCACGACATGCAACTGACAGAGATTGCTCCCTACAACTGAAACACGTCACACGATCCCAACTATACTCGATCCCGGCTCGGCATGATCGATCCCAAGAGGATCCTAGTCGATCCCACCCCTGACCCCACACGTTCCTGTAGCAGTATGTTACTTAAGACATAGTTTAGCGTCTTGTGCTGCTTGCAGCAGCAGCAGCAGCTGCAGCTGCACCTCCTTGCTGCTGTTGGTGTTTGTTGCTGCTGCACGTGCAGGCGGTGCGTACTCTCAGAGTTGTTTGTGCATCTCTTCTTCGGTTGTTTAAATGCATTAAATGAATAATTTAAATGCAAATTAAATGCAGAAGGAAGAAAAGAAATAGAATATTAAAAAAGATTGTCTTAAGAAGATGCTCTTAGACAAGAAGGCGATCCAGGAAGGGGGTTGGGGGGCCCCCTAGGCCCCGTCTTTGTAGGAGTTTTTATGCAGTAGTCTTCTGCTTTAAACATTATTTAATTTGTTTTATTTAACAATAAATAAATAAAATCGCAAAATATATTAGCAACAGAACTTTAATGAAAGAAAAACAGAGACAGCAGCAGATGATCCGGGGCTTCGAGTGTATAGGCAGCTAAATGTGCAGCAACTGTCTCTTTCAAAGCCCCTACACTTAATCTTTAAGTCTATATGGGGCCCCCCACGACATGAGGGGCCCCCTGCGGCTGCTGCTGCTGCTGCTGCTGCTGCTGCTGCTGCATGTCTCTCTCTTTTTTCTCTGCTGCTGCTCCAAGCCTGTGGGGCCCCCTGGTCTAGGGGGCCCCGAAGCTTTTAGTTATACACCTTTTGAAGATATTGAGTTTATAGGTGCAGCAGCAGCAGCAGGGGCTGATGCAGCGCGTGTTGGAACAGGAGAAGCAGCAGCAGACGCAGCAGCTGCAGCAGAACGCGAAATAGCGGCAGCAGCAACAGCAGCAGCAGCATTAGAAGCAGCAGCAGGGGCTGCAACAGCAGCACCACATCACCCTAAGAGGGT